ATCGGGCTCAAGTGGGAAGAGATACAATAAAAGTATTTAATAAAAAAAGAAAAAATACATTAAAAAGAGTTGTGTGATCATGACTAAAACATTCTCTTTTGTCTCTTTTGCTCTAGCCAGCTGGTTCACTTGCCTATAGCCTTTTGCAAGTAACCTGTTTTGCTTCAACAGCATTTACTGGGCATCTACTATGCATTAGTTTGGTTTTGGAAAAAGAATGAAAAACAAACAGGCTGCAAAAACATTTTTTACAGAATAAGATCTGCAGCATAGCCTAAAGATATCAAGACCCTTCAACCCAAATATTATTTATTTCTCCAATATATACATATGAAAGGTCTTCAAAAAGGTCACGGAAGGATGGAATTAAATAATGACATTTTCCCACAAACTTTTGGAAGTCTCCATATATTTTTTATTGGATTTATATGAGTTGCCTTCTTCAACTGTATTTGTTTAGCTTATATAAAAAATCTTTTGTTTTCTTTAATCTTTTTGTCTAACATAAAATTACTTAATGCAAATAAAAATTGAATGTGCTTACAATCTGATTTAGTTGGGACCTTTTCAAAGGAGCAGCTAGATCGTTGAAAAGAGCTTCCATCATATACACTCAAGTTCAAAATATATTTTAGAAATTTTCTCAATAGGTTTAGAGTACATTAATTAACAGTGTGGGGAAGCAAGTTGTGTCCTTTGATAGAGAAATTAGCTTTGTGAACATATTATTGTGGGTATGACATGAAGGAGCAACTACAAATGGAAAGGAAATCAAGAAGTGGTTGCAAATCATGTTTTATTTTGAAGGTGAAATTTTGCAATGAAGTGTTATTTGCTGAGACAAAGTCTTCCAAGAGTGAAAGAAGTCGATGGCTTACTTACATCTATTTTATTACTAGACTATAATTTATTAATTCATTTTATCAGGCACAGTAAATGTAGCTGAACAGTATTAACCAATTAAGACACCTCAAAGTTTTATTTTTAGAAGGTTCAGGTTAATCTTTTAAAGCTGTTGATAGAAGTCTTTATTTTAGTGACTTATGAAAGAAATTGGTCATGAATGTCTATTGACCTTTACTAAAATGTAATCTCAATAAAGTGGAGTAAAGAACCTATATGTCTTGGTATTCAATTAGTTTTAAAAATTACTTAAGTCCTAGGATGGACCAAAGAGTTGGAGAGTCTTTTAGTAGCTTGAAAGATTCAGTCAGGAATCTGAGTATTTGCTTAGTTCCTAACATATATGCAAGCTGGATTCTGTCCTATAGTGCTGAATTTTGTCTAGCTCTAAAGCATTATAACAATGTTGAAAGGAACAATGTATAGGTCGTTTGGCTTTAAAAAATTTACCAAAGGATCTTTGAACTTGATTACAAGGCCTGGTATCATATAAGCAAGAACCAATGGTACCAAAGGAAGAAGTTCAAGAGGCACTGAATGCATTAGCCAGAAAGAAAACTCTGCCATCAATTGGTGCTAACTCACAGTTGACCTAATAGGACAGAGTAGACCTGCCCTGTTGAGTTTCCAAGACCAGCTGTTTATGGAGTAGAAAGCCCTGTCTTTCTCCCTCAGCGGGCAGACTGCTGCCCTTGTGGATCACAGCCCAATTTGTAACCATTATGCCACCAGGGCTTCAGCCAAAAATAAGGCTCCAGGAATTGATGGAATACTAATTGAAATGTGTCAATAAGCTGATGAAGTACTGGAAGCATTTACTACTGTATGCCAGGAAATTTTGAAGACAGCTACTTGACTTGGCCAACTGATGGGAAGAGAGCGATATTTGTACCCCTTCCAAATAAAGGTGACCTAAAGAATGTTCAAATTATGTAACAATCATTAATAGCACATGCATGAACAATTTTGCTGAATATCATCCAACAGCTGTTGCAGCAGTACATTGATAGGGAGCTGTCAGAAATTCAGGCTGGATTCAGAAGAGGACTTGGAACAAGGGATATCATTGCTGATGTGGGATGGATATTGGCCGAAAGCAGAGAATACAAGAAAGATGTTTGTGTTTTATTGACTGTGCAAAGGCATTTGGCTATGTGGATCATAACAAACTATGGATATCCTTAAGAATGGGAAGCCCAAAACACTTCATTGTGCTCATGCCGAACCTGCACATGGATCAAGAAGCATTTGTGCAAATAGATCAAGGGAATATTGCGCGGTAAAATCAGGAAAGGTGCATCTGGGTTGTTTCCTGTCATCACACTTATTCGGTCTGAACTTTAAAAAAATCAGAGAAGCTGGATTATATCACGAAGAATGTGGCATCAGGATTGGAAGAAAGCTTAATAACCTGCTATACGAAGATGATACAAGCTTGTTTGCTGAAAGTGAGGACGACTTGAAGCACTGGCTGATGAAGATCAGGGACTGCAGCCTTCAGTATGGATTACAGCTCAATGAAAAGAAAACCCACATCCTCACAACTCGACCAGTAAGTGACATGATATACAGAGAAAATATAGACGTTGTCAAGGATTTCACCTTCCTTGGATCCACAGTCATGCTCATGGAAGCAGCACTCAAGAGATCACAGGATGCATTGCACTAGGCGCATCTCCTGCACAAGAGCTCTTTAAAGTGTTGAAAAGCAAGGATGTTACTTTGAAGACTAAGCTGTGTTGGGCCCAAGCTATGGTTGTTTCATATGCAAATGAAAGTTGAAGATTAAATAAGTAGCACTTATAGTGCTGATGAATATTGAAAGTATCACGGACTGCTAAAAGAACAAATGAATTTGTTTTGGAAGAAGTACAACCAGAACACTCTCATGTACTTTGGACATGTTATCAGGAGAGATGAATCCTTGGAGGATATTACACTTGGCAATGTAGAGAGGCAGTGAAAACTAGGAAGATTTTTCAACAAGCCGGATTGACATGGATTGACATGGCTGGGCTCGAGCATGGATTGTTGAGAATGGATCAGCACTAGGCAGTGTTTGTTTTGCTGTACACTGGTTTGCTAGGAGTGGGAATCTAACAACAAAACCAAAAGACCTGGGAATTTTAGGGATCTTTACAATTTATATCACTTGAAATTAGTCCATCATTCACGAATGAAAAAGAAAGCCCCAGAAAGAAGTACCCTAGAACACACAGTTTGTGGCAAAGCCTAGGTGAGAAAAGATTCTAGCCTATGGCTCCTTTTCTACCACTGTTTTCGCACTTTCTTTCCCCGGACATTTTATTCTTTATGATGTTCAAGGACCAAGCAATTTTAGGGCACAGTTAACCTTTTTGAAGGAGTCAGTCTAGTTTAATGGTGACATAGTGATAGCAGGCACATTTGGTACATTATAGCTTTTTGAATTCTTCCTTGTGATTTTTCCTTCCAGTTGAACAGTCTTGGCAGTGGCATTGGATGGTAGAATGCCCAGGGCCCTGGAGTTTGACAGGCCCACCACTGTGCTAGCAAGAGTCCTAACCTTGCTGAACCCCCATTTCCTCATTTCTAAAATGAGTTTAATAGATGCAAAGCTGATTTGACGATTAGTGATAGCACAGGTAAACATATGCCTCACATGATGATGGGACATGGTAGGTACTTGAATACATGGAACAGTTGCTATTATTATTATTATAATGAATATCAATCTTCTAGCAGTATTAGACACACGATATTTACTGCCAATGATTCACAGTACCCCCATAGGACAGAGTAATTTCTCTTGGGAACTCTGTGGGTTTCCAAGGTTGTAACTCTATATAGGAGCAGACAGTCTCATCTTTCTCCTGAAACATATAAGCTCCGAAGCATTTTGATTTGTATTAAATTAAGCTACATAGTGTAATTGAAAATGAACATGCTGAGGAAATTTGCAAAGCTTCTGTCAACTGTGTAAATATGAAGTCAGTCTATATAAAGTAGTGAAGTTTTCTTTTTTTTCAGGAAGTGCAGGAACCTGGAAGAGTACTGTTATATTATGGGAGTTGCAATCAATATCATGAAATTAAAGGTGTGTGAATTGTTCAACGAAAATTACTGGAAAACTAGTTTCCTCTATAAACTTTCCCCCAAATCACAAAAAGGAAAACAAAACAAAAACACTGTCATTGAGTAGATTTCAACTCATAGTGTGGGAGTGGACCTGCACCCAAGGCTTCACAAGGCAAAAAAAAGTGAAGCTTTGTGTGTGTTTGATGAACTGTCAGTACCTCTATTTTATCATGATATTCTTCAAAAGGTTTACAAATAAGGAAAAAATGTCATTACCTTTGTATTTTACTTTTCTATGACGAAGTGCAAATGATTACGCACTTATTAGTGGAAATGCTGGTAGTTTGAGCCCATCAGAGAGATAGCCTAAGGATCTGCTTACGTACGGTCGCAGCTTTGGAAACCCTATAGAGCAGGTTAACTCTGCATGCATGCGATCAGAACTGATGCCACTGTAACTAACCACCACCACCAAGTTTGCTGTAAAATTATGCAAGCTATTACTGCAAAATTTTCTTTATAAAATAAACAAGCACACTTAGTCAAGTTTCCAATTAGTTAGGGAAATATTACAAGTATATTTAAAGTTTTTAAAAATCTAAAGTAAAAAAATAATTCGATGCTTTATAAAAGTGTTTTGAGTTAAAGCAATTTAAAAAACAGGCTCAATACTGTTAGAAATCACTTGGTATACAATTTATTAGCAAGTACAAAGAAAAATGTTTCATACAATATTGGTAATTTTCCTTAAAGGAAAGAATAACAATATAATACTGGATACACAGAAGTTTTTGACATTTCAAGTATTTGTGTCAACTAAAATTAGGCACATCTACATTTCTCAGACATTTTTTTAATGGAGAAATCTGAGTACAGCTATATATATACGTACATGTGTGCACAAACATGTAACACTCAAACTCCTGCCATTAAGTTGGCTCCTACTCATAGTGACTCCCTAGGACAGGCTAGAACTGTCCCTCTGGGTTTCTGAGACTGTTAACTCTTTATGGAAGTAGAAAGCCTCATCTTTCTCCTGTGGCGCTGCTGATGGTTTAGAACGGCCAATCTTGTGATTAGCAGCCCAATGCAGAATTACTATGCCACCAGCGATCATTCTCTCTCTACATGTTTTTTATATACTATTTGTAGAAGTGTATTTTAAATTTCCACAGGATAGTAACTGTTAAATTATAACTCATACTATAGATTCCAGAGAGTATAGTAACATTAAATATGAATAAGTAAAAAAGTATTGCTACCTCCCAAAAATCAAAGATCCCTTTATTAAACAAAAGTACCAAGATATGAAGCTATGGTGTCCACCCAGGTGTATACACTTCTGAAGGTTGTTTCCTTTTCTCTAGCCCTTCCCTGAGGATTCAGTGCCTTCAATTGATACTACGGCAAGAAGACAGATTTGGCATCCTTGAGGGACTCAAGTCATGTTCCTTTTCATTGTTCTGTGAACTTGGGGGAACAGAAAGACATCCGAATAGTCAAATTCAGGCCTGTAGGGTAGATCCGGTGAGGTTTCCCAACAAAGTTCTCTCATAGAATAGCACTTGCTACCCTCAAAGAACGAGCAGGTGTATCGCTGTGATGGAAAAAACTTCCTTGGTAAATTTTCCTGGCCTTTTCCTCACTAACGTAGTTTTCAATATTCTTAGACTGCTTTCTAAAGAAACCCTGTGATTGTCCTGTGTTCTTCAAGAACGTCTATCAAGATTACGCCTTTGGAGTAACAAAATAAAGGGGGGGGGGGAAGATTACTCCTCTGGGATCTCTTAAAAAAGTTCCCATAAACATCTCAGCTGACTTTTCTGCCTTGATTTGAACTGGCCCAGCAGATTTCAGAAGCCACTGTTTTGATTGGACCTTTTGTGGAAAGTCCCCTAATGAGACTGAAAGACAGGTGTATTACTGAGAGAACCTGTCTGCTGCCACGCAACTGCAGGGCCTATTTAAACACATTTTGTCTGGAATTAGCCCGTACATGAACTGGAACCCTAGTAGCACTACATTCTGACTTCACCTCTTAGAACATAGTAGTTACCTTGTTTTCAATGATCTACTCTCACTAAGCATGACTATGGTACTGTGGTAATACAACTTCATAAAAACTTTCTAGTAAATTTTGTGACAGGCAGAAAAAAAGATCAGTACTAGAGAAAAGAGCTCATTCTGCCTTGATAGGTTAGAGGTTAAAGAACAATGTTCCAGCTAACTATTGAATATGTTATTTTAGCATAAAAATAAAAACATACACAAGTACAATTTTTAAAAACAAGTAGTTTTTGTAAGTGCACAAAAATAAGAATTTAGACATTCATAGTCAAGAAACTAATTGCTAAGGGTCCAAAAATTATGTTAATAGTATTACCCTGTTGGCTTATTTTTAAAACCCATGGCTCTCTAAAATAGGTCCTTCTAGTCCCAGTGTAGAGTTTGTTGGGGCTTTAAAAAAAAATCTGCAAATTTACAGAGTAAGACTACCTGGGCCCAACTAGTTTTGTAAGTGCCTGCTTTTGAATTGTTTGAGTTGAATCTCATGGAAACTACATTATAAAACTGGGAATATAGATGTTATTGGCAAGAAAACAACAAAACAAGAACAGATCTTCATATTCAGTTGACCCAGTTTTCAACACTAGTTTAGATCCTCTTGACATACCAGTTTGTCAGTAAAAATCTTATATTCCTGATTATCATTATTGTGAAAATCTAGATAGACCTTCTTGGTCTCTTCTCAGTATGACCACATCTTACTCTCTGTGAATAGATTATATAACTTTGGGGGGGGGTAGTAAAGCAATTTTAGTTGGGTAATTAGCCTACAGAAATCACTAAAATAATCATTTTAATTTCCATAATTATTATAATTTAACATTCTCTTGAAAATTTTTTTCTTTAAAATAGGTCACAGGCTAATTGGTATATTTTTATTATAAGTAGAATGACATCTAAAAAGAACTCAACAATTTCTACAATACAGTCAAAACCATCTATTAAAAAAAAAATCCCAGGGATTCCTAAAGTCTGTTATTTCAATGCCTATATATGTTGGAAAGGCTTTAATGAGAACATATCCACTATTACTTTAAATAACTCTTCTAAGTATTTGTAACATAGTTTGGAACCTTAACAAAAACCATAAAAGTTTCCACTTCATAGATTTCAAAAAGTCCACATAAATTTGTAGAAAAGTCTCCCAGGCTCTCATGGACATGCTAGCTTTGTTCTAGACACAATTCCTCTGAAGCTGGTGGTGTGAATTAGTAGCCTATCCTAACTATTCCCTATACAAGGGAATATGAAGAATGGGCTGAGGCAGGTACACTACTATCCTAATTTGACAATAGGAACAGACAGCAGAGAAAGTATATGGAACAGACATAAGATTTGAAAAGCAGCAAGCTGAGGTCAGTGAAGTGGTTAAGTATGCCCTAATAGCTTCTTGAGGCTTCAACATATTTGGATGCATTTTACTAAGTGAAATTCCTAATAATGTCAGTGAATTATAGAAATACAATAACAATGAATAAGTATATTGTTTTAAAAAGTACAGAAACATTTTAGAAATAAAATGGTTAAACAAATTCTAGTGCTTGAAAAGATAAACATTGACTCTGGATAACTCACTCATTTTCCAGTAATGCAGAATAGAGTGAGGTACATCACAAGGACTCAAGAACACAGAACTCATCACTTTACATGTAAAACAGTACAGTTCATTAGAATATGTGTTCTGAATTTAAAAATCAACATCAATGTCTTCGTTTTCTAGATTATAATCTTCTAAAGTTCCCTTTTCTCTGGCATTTGAATAGGCTTTAAAATCATGAACTTTGCCTTTTAGAACACTGAGTTCATTTTGCATCTTTAATATGCTATTATCATACTGAATTCCTTCAAGAGTTTTCTGCATCTCCATAATTTCGGATACTGCTTTCAGCATATCATCTTCTATATTAAACATCTGCATTGTCAAGTCTTCGATTTTCTTTTCTGTCCCTATTAGATCCTGAGAGACCCTGAGGATGGAGTGAATAGCACTTTCAATTGTTGGCAAATGTGTCTTGCATTCTTTAACTTTGGGTTCATAGTTAGAAAGCTTCTTAGTCAAGTCTTCATCTCTGTCAAAGAGAGCATGCTGTTCTTCTTCTAGCTTTTCAACTGCTTTTGTATCAGAGCCAAGTTGCTCCTCTACCCGGAGAAGATCTTCTTCTTCCTGCCTTTTGATGGTTCTAATGTTTCTTAGTGTGCTATCTTCCAAATCCTTCAGTCGTTCAGTGAGCAATTTTATTCCTTGTTCAGCTGAGTTAATTTGGACATTAACTTGAGAATGTATTTGTTTTGCTTCTGATTTGAAGGAGTCTGTATTAATATTCATTTCTTCTAGATTTCTCTTCCAGAAATATGTAACATTCTGGAATTTCTCATGAAGGCTTTCCATCTTTTGAGCGAGAACATCTTCGCTCTTTTGAATGTCACGTATGATGCTTTGCAGGCTGGACACTTCCTGCTCAAACTGGGTGACCAAAGACATGGATGCTGTAGCTTCGTGCAGGATACTTTCAGAAGACTCAAGCTGTATTTATAACACAAAACAATTCCCAAGGCTACTTAATAATTGTTATAGGAAAGAAACACACTAACAATCAGGAATATAACATGGAATATAACATGTGCCAAGATCCAATTTTGATGCTGTCTAAAATTTCCTAGTACATCAGAATCATACGACAGAAACATATATTACTTTAATAGTTGTTTTAACATATTTTCAACAAAATGAACAGATTAATCTTGTTAAAAATATATACGTCTGGATTTGTAATCCTAGATAGTTGTGTATTTACATGCACTCATACTCAAAGAGATAAAGGATGTTAAAGAAGCTAGTCTAGCAAACTTCTCTTTTTCATTCCAACTAAAGGTAATTTAGGTTTTATTTTTATGGTTTTTGGCATTTAAGAAACTGTAATTTTGTTATGAAATTTGCTACCTTTCTTAGATCTTATGATTTTGGGAAAGTTTTTTGATTAGAAAAAAATTTGGTGACTAACTTCTCACAGAGAAGGTACCATAATAAAATTTTTACAGATATAGATAGCAAAATAAAAAATGAATAGAAAAACAATTTAGTGTGACAATTCTCATCAAATGAGTGTTCTAAGGATTTGTAAATTAGCTCCTGGGGCCTAGGAGGGTCAGGTTGTAACATCTTTAGAGACTAAGAAGGAGGCCTTGAAAAGATTGCTTATTTACCAGAAGTTTCTAGCATTGTGTGGAGGATATGGTAGTAAATAGAGCAGTGTTCTGCCTTTAAGCAGTTTAGTTTAATTGTGAGAAAGACAAGCCTATATGCACCCTGACAGGGAAGAGCTATGAAAGCACTTAGGTGGGGTGCCCAATACAGATTCAATGATGAAGAAAAGTATTCTAGAGGAAGGATTATCTAAGATTTGCTTCCAATGACTTCTTTCTAAATCACCCTACACTTAACTACCAGATTGGGCTTCGAAAACTGCTATGCACAAGGTACAGACTAATAAAAAGCCTGTGGTGTTTCCTAGTACATCTGGATAAAATAGCAAATTCTACAGCATCTCCATATGTTAGTGGCCTTCTCTGATCTGTTTAGCTGGGTTTTGTCCTTACTTCAAGGTGTAGATGAAATCTCAATTCCTCAGTAATAACATTCTTGTATAGCGTAAGCCCTAACATGTTGAATTCCTGTAGTGCCTAATGTATTATGCTTTGCCACATACTTGGCACTAAGTAGATATAATTCAATAATTTTGAAGCATTCACTCGTTGCTGGACTTTGTAATTGATACTGGATATATGAAGGTAAACCCAGTAAAGTACGTTTCTTGACCTCGCAATCTGATAGGGAAGACAGGAGCGCTAGGGTTTTAGAGACGTGACATCACTTATTCTGGAGCCCCATGAAGGCTGAGGGATTCCTTCTCGGAACCTGTTAGATTATTAAGCACTGGGGATACAGACTTGAAAGACATGGTGTCTGCTTTAATGAGCAGTAAAGAGATGAACAAATCAACCATCACCATAGCAAAATCATGACAGCGATTAATGTCCTAACAGGATTACCATAGGGAGCAGTGGGTGCTGAGAGGAGAAACCAAGTGGGGAGAACAATGAGGAAAGGCTGAGAAGTGACTATGACATAGGACTAATGAACAGACTGATACGTTTGCCAAATGAAGATGAAAAGCTTCTAAATTCTTTGGGAGTTGATACATGTCCTTTTAAATTTTCTAGTGAGGGACACATATTGCTGGCAATACATTAAATGGCACATGGCCATGGCATTAAATAGCTTCGAACCCCACTGAGAAACAGACATCTTTTAAGTTCTCATTCAATCCTTTGAATTAATGTCAGGCAGAAGTTTAAGTTGGGTGCTACTCTCTCTCCCTCTCTCACACACACTTTCCTGCCATTTGCTCACTTTGCTTTTTAACCAATATGGCCCAGGCTACATGTCAGGAATCTAAGAGGTAAAGAGAACTGGCCAGAAGTAGTAATGGGAACATTTTTCCTGTGGTACTTTTTTTTTTTTGGTGGTTCTGTTTAATAGCAAGTGATACTTATTTGCCACTATGATAGCAGACCAAATTGAGGAAAACAAAGGAGTTATGTTTAAAGGGACATATTAAGGCCTAAAAGCATAGTTGGTGAGTAGGCTGGGCTATGGAACTGAATTCTGGATGTTTCCCCTTCAACCTTCCCCTGTGCTGGAAACATCATGGAGGAATGAGGTGTGTTCATGGCCCTAACTTCTTTCTAAGTCTGTGTCATCAGGTAACATGGGTCAGAAAGGATTGTCAAAGATATCCTAAAAATTGAGATGAGAAATGTTTTTCTTATAGTTTCACCCTGTTTGGACTTTGTGTCCCTCTCAGACCTTTTTGTTGTCCCTATGTCCTGGAGAATAAAGAACAAGTTTGCTGATGTTTAAGCAAGTGAAAAGATGGGAACAATGTCTAATATTACTAATATGATACAGCCACTCTGAATGAAAAACAATCAAATTATTTTGAATGTAAGCATTTCATAATACAAATTTCTTTAAAAACCAATTTTGAGAAAGCAGCTGTACATTGGTAATACTGTTCGGGTTAGTTTTTTATTAGTGGTCTTTTGAAGAGGCATGCTAATCTTCACCTCAGGTAGTTTTTCTATTTAGGCTGTTAACCCAACACCATTGTAATCTGGAAGCAATATACCCTAAGTACAAGATCAACTTTTCAGGATCAATAAGTCTCAAAATTTAACCTGCAAATATTATGAATATCACAATGACTAACTAACATTTATGTTGAGCTTCCAAAATATTTTAAAAGTTTTTAATTTTTTCAAAAGTTAATTGCATAGTCATTGAAAGTTTGTAAAGTATTTACACATGCATTTTATCTTATCTAACTCTTCTAGATTATTGTTATTCTAATTTAATAAGTGATGAAATGGAGGCCAAGAGATTTGTACAAATCCACTCAGATGTCATGAGATCCTATGTCTAGTTTTGCTACCCTTCTTCCAACACACACACACAATTGCTTTTAGGTCCAGGCTTGGTGAAAAAGGGTAGCTATTGTGAAACTACTTCCAAGGGACACTGGAAGTGGAAGAGATATTTAGATATTATTTCTTAGATCCTGTGATAATATTTTAGAAACCTGATTCTATAAGTATTTTAATTTTGACCAATATTTTTTCTCTTTAAAAAGGCAATTTTTTCCAGTTTAGATCTAATTTTGTCCAAAATTTGTGTTCAATCAAGTATATGTGAAGATTTTAAGCTCCTGGAATTTTTTCTATCAATATATTATCAGAGTAACTCCAGCAACTATAACCAGATTCCAATTGAATCTTAAGTCAAAAGATCAACTCTTTGAAACACCTTCCCAGAGACACCTCAGTTTATCCTCCAGGGAATCTCCTTGCACTTGCTGATCATCTATAACTTTTCCCTCTGGGAGATTGTGACTCATCCTGTAAACAAGACTGTAGAGATTGAGACCTTTCTGTTTGAAGTCCTCTATAGCATATCTACTTTATAATATACTTGCCCACCTCGGTGGTTTTGAACTGCTGACCTTATGGAAAGCAACTGAATGCATAACTATGCCACCAAGGCTCCTAAACGTTCAGTAAATGGATAACTTAAGAGCATGTTTCCCTAGGACATTTAGTTGCTGAGAACCAGGTGATACTCAGATGGTGACCCTCTCCTGAGAGGCATGAGAACTGCATACATTTTTAGCTGTCTCATGGAGATGTAGTCAATATGGTCATACTTCTTTCTCCCCTAAGTGACGTTTACAAATTCTATCCTCCACACATGTGACTGTAGTCTTAGTTTGGAGGGAGTTGTCTGTTGTGTTGATGAAACAGGATTGTAGTGGCATATATTTTAAGTCTTCACCTTACCAGAGTGTGAATCATGTCACCACCCTTGTTTCCTTGGGGCTAGTCTGCAAAAGGTAAACAAAAGCCCCTCACATTTCCTTTAAAGTCATTTTTTATGACCATTCCTTCTCAACTGACCTTGTGCAGCAGCTGTTTTAACTTTTGCCCGGGATACTGCCTCTGGCTTGTCTCTCTCTGCCTGACCCCCGTTCTCGGACTTGAGTTTCGACTTGTCTCCTGACCTGATTGCACCAGCTTTTGCAGCCTTGTGGGTGAGGAGGATTCTCCGGATGGAGGTCTGAACTTCGGATTTGGGGCTTACGGGCACACACAACCATATACACCGTTTCTTAGTGGTTGGTGAGCACTGAGACTGCAGACAGGGATGTGAGGGATCATACCAAAGAGATCAGTGGTGGTTGCTATCAGGGATAATGGAGTGGTGTAGCATTTTGAAAAATTCAACATTTGATACATCTTTAGTCTCCACTTCATTGAGATTAGTCTTGCTTTAATTTTTCTACATTAAATTATTTTTGCACTAAGAATCAAAGTAATAATGCATTTGCTGGAAATCTGTATTTGCAGCTTTAAGAAACACAATATAGACATTGGTGTTATTTGGCTACAGGATCTATCTTATTTTGTTAGTCTTATTGCATATTTACATATATTTAAAAATGGGAAAAGAGAAAAAAATTGATGGGAGCTTTAAAAAAATACTATTCACATTCTAATTTTATAACCAATGATACAGCTTATTTTCAATTCCATGGACACTAGAGAGGAGACCTAGGGGTATAGAGTCTAAACACAAAGCTGTTAACCATAAGGTTAGCAGGTTAAACTCATTAGCTGCTCCACGGGAGAAAGAGGTGGCAGTCTGTCTCCTTACAGACTAACGACTTGGAGACCTAGAGGATCACTGTGAGAAAGACTTGACTTGATGGCGATATGTTTGGTTTTGGTGTTTTAGGTACCTGACATTTAAATGAAAGACTGAATTTTTTCATCGACAACATTTGTTATCTAAAATAATAGTTCTTTCAAAATACAATCTGAGGCTAAATTAAATTGAAGGAAGAATGTTGGAGGTAGGAAGACCAGTGAGAGTTAAAATAATTATGGTCTAAAAGGCAGGATGAAGACAGTAGGAAAGAAACAGGAGAAAATCTCCCTAGATAATGCAAATTATAATTACCTTTTCTGAAATTAAACTGATTTTACTTTGAAGTCCTTGGAACTCGTTGGTTTCTATTTTCAGTAGCTGGTATTGGTTTTCCACTCTGGCATACTTTTCTGACTGCTGAAATACAAACCTGGAAGAGAAAAAAAAACCCTAAACGGCAAGACTCATATCCATAAAGGCAAGAACAACATAAATCCTAGTACTGGTGGCTGAAGTTTTTAATCACCTTGTTTCAACAAACACTTACAAAGCCTACTAGGGTCGTTAGGACTGAATCACCTTGATGTGCTGGGTTTTGGATGGTGGCAGGAGTTCCTGGGTGGAAGTGGTTAAAGAACTCTACTGCTACCTGGAAGTGTCATGGCTTGAATCCATCCTGAGGCACCTCCGAAGAAAGGCCGAAGGTCTACTTATGAAAAATAAGCCACTGAAAACCCCAAGGTCCAGTTCTGACACACACAAGGTCATCGTGAGTTGGAACGGACTTGATGGTAATCGGTAGCGATGTGTTCCAAAATTAAAGCAACCTAACTCACTGCCAACAAGTCATTTCAGCTTCACAGCAACTCTACAGGACAAGACAGAACTGCTCTGTGGGTTTCCTAGAAGGTAACTGTTTATAGGACCACTGAGCCACATTAGTGGATTTGAAATGCTGACCTTGTGGTTAGCAGCCCAATGAATAACCCATTATGTCACCAGGGATCCCCCTAACTATGTGTTGTGCTGTGTTGATTTAACTGTATTACTCAAGCAAAAGTGAGCACAGCACTGCCCTAATTATAGTTTATAGCCTAGCAAGTAAGTTGGTGAGATATCTGCAGTAACAGATGTCTGTACAAAAATATTTGAGGAAGAAATGATAAACGATTCAGAACAAAATATTTGATGTCTATTAAACTTTTCTCAAGGCCGGGCTGTACTTGGTCAATATTTAGAAAGCTTTTGTATTTCTAAAAATGTTTTTACATTAACATGCAGAAGTAACAGAAAACTAATGAAACAGAGTAGAAAGAAGAGAGGTACTGATGACTCAAGTTATAAAATGAGTAATAGAATCAACATTATGAAAACATAAGTCAGTGACAATAAAACATATGAATGCAGATGATAATAATCTGGTCACACTCACCAATATAATGCATAAAATGTACTTTGTATGGGCAGTTGACTCTTGAAAAACACTGTTTTGAACTGCGTGGGGCCAATTATATATGGATTAAAAAAAAAAAAAGAACCCAACACCCCATGCTTACTAATTATAGTATATTTCGTATAGCAGTAAAAAGTGATCTCCTTGAAGGGAGACGTCAGACAGTGTAAGACATGACAAAATAATAGTAATTTATAAATTATCAAGGGTTTGTGAGGGAGCAGGGTGGACAGGGAAGGGGAAATGAGGAGCTGATACCAAGGGCTGAAGTAGAAAGAACATGTTTTGAGAGTGATGCTGGCAACAAATGTACAAGTGTGCTTGACACAACTGATGTATGTATGGATTATGATGAGTTGTACGAGCCCCTAATAAAATGATTTAAAAAAGAAAAAAAAATCGATGCCTTGCAGTTCTTGGGTATTTTTCATCATGTTCAGTGCAGTGCTATAAACCTTGAATATAACACCAACGGTCCTCTATGAAGTGCCACTAGTGTTGCAGAAGTGCTCTCAGGAAGCAAAGTAATAGCATTAAAAAAAAAAAAGGGAATTGTTGATATGTACCAGAGATTGAGGTCTGCAGTTGCAGTTTCCTGCCACTTCAAGATAAATGAATCCAGAGTAAGGACCATTATTAAAAAAGAAAATGAAATTTGAAAACCCTCACTGCAATGACTACCAGCAGGGGCAAAAACTTTGCACTTTAGGCGAAATATTTTTATGCAGTATATAATACATAAAATGTGTTCAAACAACTCTTACTGATAACAGAAGGCTATTAGTAGTTACGTTTCAGGGGAATCAAGTTATATGTGGAATTGTGATGGCATAGGGCGGTTGGTAGAGTTATGCCTCATGTTGTTCAAGGGTCCACTGTATTCTAAAATTGGAATGCTGTCTTATCTAGTGCTGCTATAACAGAAACACCGCAACTGGGTGGATTTGGCAAACATAAGCTTGTTTACTCACAGTTTAGGGGCCTAGAAGTCCTAATTCGGGATGTGAGTTATAAGGGAAGGCTTTCTCTCTCTGTAGCTCTGGGGGACAGTATCTTTGTTTTAATAGAAATTTTATTTATTTAAATTTAAAATCATTTTATTGGGGGCTTGTACAACTCTTATCACAATGCATACATACATCATTGTGTCAAGCACATTTGTTGCCCTCACCATTCTCGAAACAGTTGCTTTCTACTTGAGCCCTTGGTATCAGCTCATTTTTCCCTTCCCTCCCCTTGATAATTTATAAATTATTATTTTGTCATATCTTACACTGTCCGATGTCTCCTTTCACCCACTTTTCTGCTGTCTGTCCCCCA